TACAACAACTGTTCATTACTCCTCAGTTCTAATTAATTTCTCAGTCAATATCTTCAACTTCGTATTCAATGATTATGTCCACATTATAACGTGTTTATTTGAAGTACTTTCTATAGATAGCACAAATAAACATACTCATAGACTGGCATTCCCCTCCGCATCACTGCTTTGCAATTATTTGATATAAATAAACCAGTTGTAAGCAATACTTGCAGTTGACCTTCATTGGGTATCTGTCTATTAACGAATTCACTGCACAGAGGTGTAACTGCTCTTTAGTTCAATCGGGTTTTCGAATGAATACAATTCAACTATAGCGTTTTGACCCCATTGAACAATGATAAACAAGTACCATCGAAATGGAAATTTTGAAAAGTCAAAAGCAAGTCTGATATGTATAAAATATTTCCCAGCTATGAACTCTAAAGAATGCAGGATCATGACATCATGAATGCTCACTCTGTGTTAACATAACACGTGATTACAAACGTATACCACTCTCTCTCTCTCTCTCCCTCTCTCTCTCTCTCTCTCTGATGTTCCATTCACAGCTGTCACATTACTCAGTTATGCACCAAGGTAGAGCGAAATTCTGCTCAATTCACTTACAGTTTTCTGGGCCAGTCACAGTACTTTATTGTAGTTCGGTTAACATATTCTGAAACATTTAAAGACCTTATTACACCACACAATCACCACATGAATGACAATTGTATTTAAGTTGGTATTCATCATAAACTGACACCAGCTGAAGGAACATTGGAAACCTGGAAGCACTGGACAGCTGTTTCGTCCTAGTATGGGACTCCTCAGCAGTGCGCACCTATGGCCCCGCCCCGCCCCGCCCACCCCACCACGGATCGAACCCAAGACCTTCAGGCTCCGTGACCAGCACGTTACCACTGAACCACTCGGTGGGAATCCAGTAGGCCATATTTCTAGATTCTGTCAGTTCACGACATAGTGTGACCATCATCCAATATGATCGTTGCGTATTTGTCCTTATGTCCACTAGGTTTATCCTACCGATCATGACTTCTCATTGTAAGTTCAGTAATCACCTGTGGAAGCTAGTCACCAATGAGCGATAGATGAGTTTGGTTTTGGGGTTTGTGGAGATTTAATTATTTGAATACTTAACGATGACACTGGATGATGGTCGCGCTATGTTGTGAACTGACAGAAGTTGGAAACGTGGACCACTGGATTCCGACCTAGTGACTCAATGGTAACGTGTTGGCCACGGAACCCGGAGCTTTCGTGTTCAATCCCTGGGGATGTGGGGTAATGGATGCGCACTGCTGAGGAGTCCCATGCTAGGACGAAACAGCTGTTCTGTGCTTCCAGGTTTCCAGCATTCTTCCAGCTGATGCCAGAGCATGATGAATACCATCTTGAAAAAGCCAAGGAAAATCACTGTAAACTAAGTGGCCACCTGTCAGGTGTTTCGTCAATGCTCAGCAGTCGCTTCACGTGAGATCGTATTCAAGTTTTTTGGGTCTTGCGGGAACAGACTACCGAGTCATGATAACCACTTCTTGTGCGAGGGGTATAGTTTTAATGTTGTTACTTGTATTATCCCGTCGTTGAGTGAACCGAATCAATCGGTCTTTATTTGCACATGGGCTCCTGTGCGGATATTTCGATACTCCCTGTGTTTGAATAGTGGCTAGCGGTGGAATCCAGGACACGCGTTTCATTCTATTAAATGTACCTGCCTCCCACTGAGCGATGGTTGTTAAGTGGGTAGCACTCTGGTGTTTGGAGGGGTCGGTCCCGGACTCGAGTCTGAGCAGGGACAATATCGCTCACGAAGAGGCAAGTACATCCAGCTGTATAACTGTTTATATTTTGTAACACTAATTACTCGGCCAATTTTTATTGATTCAATTCGAATGAAGTTGAGTTAGAAAACGGGCAGAGAGAAGGAAAGATAGGGCAGTGGTTGTTAAATTGAGGTAGTCTCGGTTTGTAAAATGATGATATCTTATCCAACTGCCAATTTACACTAGCATTTAAACTCTATTGAAGAAAGAAATATATTTTTATCCATTAACCTATCACACAATAAACAAATCAAGAAATGTTGACTTGGAAATTTCCTGAAAAATCTCTCTCACTGTGTCGAACGTAATTTATAACATTCTTCTACGAAATTCCTTTCAAATGAAGGTCATTTTATCAATGAGTGAATGAGTATTTCCTTCCTCTTTTTCGTTCTTGTTAGCATGCACTTTACAGTGTCATGCTAAAAACAACCTGAAAGTGGAAATCATTGATAGTCAGTTAGTGCATTGTGTGTGTATGTGTAGATAATTCATTGGATTGATGGCTGATATATGTGGAGAAAATTCCACTGACTCATGGAAGAGCTCGAATCAACAGTTTCCATGATGACTGCTTAGTGGCTTATCAGTTGTTTACGCTGGTCAGATCAGACAATGAATAATGCTTCATACAGTTCTTCCCTCTCAGAAGTTCGGATAAAGCAAGACAAACAATAGTGGACACCGTTGGCATGCATGTATTTAACGGATTCTACTCAGCCGCCTTACAATCTATAGAATATCATGCTCATTATAAAAAAAAACATGTCATACAACGTACTTCTATCAATCAACAAGAATGTTTTGATTGAGATAAAAGGTTAACCGAAATCGACAAATTCCGTAGAAGTCGATCAACTACTCAAAGGTTAACTATTTATACAATGACAGAATGAAGTCTGTAGAGAAGTGAGTAGAAATTGAGATGGGGTTGAACACATTATTATCTTAGATGGGATAAAAATGACATCATGCTTGAGTAGGCGTAATATAATTGATACTGAGCATAAATTCAACATCTCAAAATCGTTCAAAGTGATCAATAAATAACTGAAACCTAACTTTTTATGGTTGCCTGAAGTAGTTGTAATGAAAGGATCCAAATCTGATACATGTGTTCAGAAAGATACCATTTTCAATCTTGCTTTACCTTGGTAATTTTAATGGCTTAAATTTGTAACTGTAAAATTTCATGACCTACTGACCTGTTTTTATTTTATCATTTGGTCTAATTACAAAATCTTCTCTCACTTTCTGAGTTATATTCATTTAATTACTCAATATAATGAAAACTTGTTCACCTTTTATTTTGCATCTATCCAAGCATGATGTCATTTTTATTACATCTAGGATAGAAATATATTCAACCCTATCTTAATTTCTATTCACTTCTCTACAGACTTCATTCTATCATTGTATAAACAGTTAACCTTTGAGTAGTTTATTGATCTTAAAGCGGCTGATAAGAATCTACTAAACACATGGATGCTAATTCGGCCTAGTATTGTTCTTTACTGGTTTAAGCAGCTGACTTTCAGCTAGAGATTCTAAGCAGAAGGTTGCTCATAGTATTTCGATATAGTCAGTAAAAACTCATCTACAAGTATGTTAAGCAGATATCTCACATATTTATTCATTAACTAATTGATCTAGCCTTGAGTATATAGTGTTAAGCTTATTTGCAGTATGCAAAAATGCTGATGTATATCAATAAGCAATGGAAACAGTCTCCTATTAAATATCTGATCGATCAATGGTGAAAGCGATTTATATCTAGACAGAAAAACTAATTTTGATTAGATTCAATGAGTTGGTACTCCAACCAGTCGACTAGAATAAGTTTTACCAATTTCTTAAGAAGAAAGTGCTGAGTTTAAATATAGCGGATGAAGAATAATTGATTAAACCCCAAGGTCACTGAATTGTCAGTTGAACATAAATGAACACCAATAGCTAAGACTATTACCATGCACAAAAATAAGTATCTATCGATTTAGTTCTATGAGTCCTAGAGAAATCTTTCTCCAGAAAAACGATCCAAGTAGCGAAATACAGAAAATCTGTCATGAAGACGTCTGAGAAATGAAGTGATGAACATGATTTCACCATCATAAAAAGGATATGCATTGAATAGTATACTGATGTACTGAGAGTTAAATGTTATGTATTCAAGTGAGAAACAGACAAAACACTTTGTCAACCGAAGCAAAGGTAACAACTTAGTCAGTAGCTGGTTGTGGATTAAGCCAGTAATCCGAAGGCTGCCAGTTCAAATCCCGCAGATACCTAGATATTCATCCCCAACTTCATTCATCATGCTTTTTAGGGAAAAATATTGAACTACTAAAAGAATCATACATGTTTACTTCTTGTCCTATTCTTTCCCAGTATTTGAAACCGTCATCATACTAATGCTTAACTCAAAATCAAAGCATATTAGATAAATATTTGAACTGAAAAAGCTCTTTAACTTGTTAGACAAAGCTCCTATACTCATTGCGTAGGCCTTCAATGTCACTGATGCCTGTATGCATTTTATTACGAGGTATCCGAGATGAACCAGTGAAGCTTCATTAAATAATAATAATAACCAGTGTACTAAAATATCCAAGTAACTTAGAAGTAAGTGGTAACGAGAAACGATAGCCTAAAATCTACGGAATAGAACAATTAGTTTGCATATGATTTAAAAATTAATGGCTCGACCTTAGCATTTCTCACAACTGCCCAACTGTGGTACCATTCAACAGGGTTTTCGTTGGAAGCTACTTGTTAACCAAGATCACAATATGTGATCTCTGACAAAAAAGTGTCATCCACTAAAGAAATATACTGTTAAACATCTTATGAGTGGATCCAGACCACTCAGGTTGATTTGTACGTCTCACCAGTCAGACCATAACGATCTATCCATCAGACAGCTCTATGAGCTGAATTTGTTCGAGTGCATCACTGATGAGCTCACCTCCAAAACCAGCGAAACGGCTATCCAGTGATTAGATCACTTTGATATGCCTAACGAGATACTACGGATCAATCTGAATGGTTTCTAACCACTTAAACAGTAATAAACGGAAAATTATTTATAAGCTAATGTAATGTGCGGGAAAAAAACACAACCAAATAACAAACACTAGAGTTTTCAATCTCAAGTATGAGTCGATTTCAGCTTACTTTATTGTTTTGCTTACCACTCTCTGAACTATCCGACATCTGAAGACGATTCAGTTCATTAGCCTCTGATCCCTGTGAGAGGAGAAAACAATAACAATAACAACAATGAAACAATAGTGAGTGAAGAAAAGAGACTATTCTATAGTTTTGATTCAAATATCCCAACTATGCTACTGAATGGAGTGTAGATAATGTATTGCCATGCCACCTTCATTAATCAATCATTCAGTCATAAAGTTGAAAAGCCCCTCTAACTAGACTAGCATAAAAAATTTACAGGCAACTTATTGGTTCTTTTTTAGACCTATGGCAAAGATTATACAATCGACAAGGATTTATTCCTCATCTTAGGATATAGTAAGTATTATTCATCAGCTGGCTGTTATGTAACCCGATCAACACTAAAAAATCATTGAAATGATATGATGTGATACTAATCATGGATAGTGATTAGTATTAGAATTCAGGATAGGCGTTTCACCTTATTTTTGACTCATCATCTGGATGTAACCGTATTTCAATGAGTGATTTTATTACTAGTGAAACTCTAAACCAGAACTTATAGCTTAAAATATCCGAGAGTTGGTGTGTAGAGAGGATAGGAACAGTCGGCTGACGAGTTCCAAATAGGATGAAACGTGTATCCTGGACTGCACTACTAGTTACTATTCATCATCTGCATCAAACTGTCATTATCGGCAATATCGAGACAACCACATGGTAGCCCATATGCCGATGATCGTCAATCAGGACGGTCTAATCAATGACAGGAAATTATGAGCTATAACATCAGTACTGTATGATTTGAAAGATTCCGACTCAGTAAATATAAATATATAGAGGTAGTATCCATCATGGACTGATATCAGTTGGGGAACCACTGAAAATCTGGGAGCACTGGACAGCTGTTTCGTCCTAGTATGGGACTCCTCAGCAGTATGCACCCACGATCCGGCTAGGGATCAAATTCAGGACCTTCAGATTTCACGGCGAATGCGTTAACCATTCAGCCACTGGGTCGGTTTCCAGTGGTTCACAATTTCCAACTTCTGTCAATTCACGACATAGGGTGACTGTTAACCAGTCGGAAGTGAAGTGGATGCTAAGTGAAGACGTTGGATGACAGTCGCGCTATGTCGCGAATTGACAGAAGTTGGAAATTGTGAACCACTGGAAACCGACCCAGTGGCTGAATGGTTAACGTGTTCGCCGTGAAGCCTGAAGGTCCTGAGTTCGGTCCCTAGCCGGGTGGTGGGTGCGTACTGTTGAGGAGTCCCATACTAGGACGAAACAGCTGTCCAGTGCTCCCAGATTTTCAATGGTTCCCCAACTGATGTCAGTCCATGATGAATACTACTTCTAAATTAAAAATCCTCATTCATCTCAAAAATGCATATAAATATGCATCAATAAAGTACAAAATAAAATGTGGTTACATGTTAAACATTTGGGGGTTGATCGATGGGCTTCAAGTGTGTAGAGAGAAGGAACTTCAAGCTGTCAAACTTACGAAAGCAAATATCGCCTGTAATAACCTGGAACACTAACAGTGAAGAAGCTTCTGTTTCTGTGTAAGCAAGTCAAAAGAGACAGAACCAGTGACAATGTCTGTCTACAGAAATGAACAAAATTTTACTGATGTACAGTTCAAGACTTGAGGAAACCTTACCTGGTTCTTTTGAATTCACCACTATGCATATGGCAATCTAACTGTCCCAGTGGAACAATTTGCATAGCACAAATCCATCTGAGAATATAAGAACATTTAACAGCTTGTTTTGTAATGGATGAAGTCGAATCCACTAGACATTTTATGCTAGCACATTTGATAGACCTAGATTACTACATAGATACTAGCATAGCGTTTGCTCTGATACACGGCATTCCGAAGACTCTACCACCTGCTACTTTTCTAAGCATTTTCCTTATAGCTAGGACTGTGGTTATAAGATCAACTAAGCCTAAACTTTGTATTCAAAAAGGACACATCGAATCCCTTTTCGTTTTGTGGTAATTAAATAACGTCTCGTCTTCCTTATATTTCTCTTTTGTTTTTTTGGATCTCTTTTGGGAGACATGTTAACTGAATTTTCCCGTTTTTCGCTCTTAGTTGAATAGACGTACTAACATCTTTTCAGTTTGAAGGCATATTGGGATTTATTGATTTTCAGTTGGTATTCATCCCAAACTAGTACCAAGTGAAGAACTGTTGGAAGGCTGGGAACACGAGACAGCTGTTTTGTGCTGTTTTGTACGCACCCATCATCCCTCCAGGGTCCGAACTCACGACCTTCAGGTTTCGCTGAGAGCTTGCTACCATTGAGTCACTCAGTTAAAACTCAATAGTTCACATTTTCCTACTTCTGTCAATTGGCGATAATAGCATGTTACTAATGAGGATTAGACAGTTCTTCTCTTTGGAGGTCCGTGATGAACATCACCATTCAAGTTCTGTTGACGAGGAGTTATTGACAAGAATGCCTTTCGTTCATATTTTACTTTTAATACCTTATAATTATTCAGATAGTCAGCAACATTAGCCTCTCCTTGTGGTAGATATACACAGCTATAATATAGGTGGACTCCTGAACAATAACCTTAGGCTTCACCTTTGATAGTCGCTGGGTCCCTCGAAAACAGAAAGAAGCGGTAAAAACGACAAAAGTTTATCGCCAAGTTGGACATGTACAAAAACTAACGGTGTATATACATTTTCTGATGCCCTTGATAAGTCCTACGTTCGGCTTCTTTGAGGAATCTAGGAAATATTATCACACTTTATAACAGATATAAAGTATTGAAATAGAAATTCAAATCTGATACTCTTTTAAAGAATATCACCTATTTCAAACCTAGTTATACTTTTGTACGCTTGAATATATGCGCAAGAGTTTTGATTCGACATAAAACGATAGACTGTACTTTAGGGACTACATTTATAAGGAGGCTCTGTTTGACTTAGATTTCAGCCTTTTTGGCATTCATCGGTAAGGCATGTCTGCAAGTCTAAGGAAGTTGTTGCCCCTCTGTAATTTCAATCTAGGGATATAAAACACTTGATTGACATTTATCGACAACTGAAATCACCTGTAGCCTCAATAAGGTGTAGAAATGCCTGCCTGTTGAAAACCAAGTGTTTTGAATAGCAGTACACTCTGTGCTTCTATATAACTGTAAAATAGGATGATTAAAGATGGGGATTTACATTTATTTCAACTATCTCTGTAGTTTCTCGCTTGCAGTGGAATCAACATGTGTGCAGTTTTAAGATCAAGCAATGAAGATGAATCATTTGATAATGTTGTGAACTTTCATCAACTGAAGTGAAATGACCATGTATTCACTATTCATAATGATCTATCATGTATCGTAAAGCTCAAGTTTAGCGCAAATAACTTAATGTTGGAAAAGCGTATCAATCAGCGAAGTCACTGATTGTCGGTTTTCGCACTAGGATCCAACAAGGAAATGAAATACACGCTTACAAACTATGATATATCTGAAAGTAAATATCTCTGTTACAGATGCAGTATAATGTTGGATCAAGTAATAAAACGATTAGACGAATATGAGATTAGAGAAACGATATATCATCGATAAACATCACTTAATTTGGGAACTGCTTCAACACTACGGAGTACCACAAACCTTTATCAACCTCATTCAACAGCCATATGAAGACGCTACATGCCAAGTGATTCATAATGGAAAGTTTAGTGACGCCTTTGAAGTAAAAATAGGAGTAAGAAAAGGCTGCCTACTATCACAGATGATCTTCCTGATTGTGGTGGACTGGATCATGTAGCAAAGTGTGAGGGGTGAGAAGATGGGCACACACTGCTCGATTGATGAAAAGACAGTATACGATTTGGATTTCGCCAATGATGAGGATTTATGTCTAATGTCGCACATGCTTGAAGATCTACAGGCAAAATCCAACAAATTGAGAGAATTGGCAGCGAAAAAGGGACTTCAAGTGAATGTAGAGAAGATGGAGGTAATGAGGATACCCAACCGACAACATCAACAATAAACATCAATCACCATCAACGGGAGAAACCTAAGGGAGTAGTCTCTTTCACCTAGGCAGCATCGTTTCAACCACTGGTGGCACAGATGAAGACGTCAAAGCCAAGACCGGAAAGACAGCAAGACACTAGTTTAAAATCAGTGTGGAGATCTACTACGCTCCACTCAGTATATAGAGTGAACAAGATCAAAATTTCAACACTAACTCAATCAAGTCAGTGCTATTATGTAGTGGTTGAGAGACTTGGTGCGTTACGAAAAGCATTTCCAACAAACTACAGACATTCATCAACAGCTACCGGCTACGCTCGCTCACTCAATACTGAAAATCAGATCAGATGGCCAGAATAATAAGAATAAGCGACAAGAAACTCTGGGGATGAATCAACCGAGAACCTATCATCCAACAAATATGCAGAAGGAAGTGGAGATGGATTGGATAGGGGATACACTGAGAAGGCCAACTGGGGACATCACGTGACAGGCCAGGCCGTCGAGTGGAATCTAAATGGGAAACTACAAGTTGGGCGTCCGAGGCGAAGGTGACATGGAGGAGATCATATGAGGAAGAAATGAAGAGTTGTGGGCAGCCGTAGACTGCCCAGGTTGAAAAGACTCAAGAGAAGAGAGTGAAATGGAGACGTGCTACTGAATCCTTATGTTCCACTAGGAACCCAAGGGCCAATGATAATAATAATATCATAATAAGATATCACTGCTTCCTTTGGATAAAAGAACAAAATTACGTATACATTTTTACGAATAACTCAGGCCTAGTTTGTTTCTGAAGGCATCTTTTTATCTAAGAAAAAACAGCTCCGTTATTTTTATTATACACTGCAGTTATTATCACTTTCACACACAAACAAAGTCGTATCAAATTAGCTCCTGGCAAAAATACACAATCTGTAATGAGAAACACATGACCAGTCCAATCTGGTAGCTAGCCAAGATTCGGGTGGTTTGAACAACAATTCAGCTCTCTGAGCTGATGAACTCATACTCGAACGAGTGAAATGGCAGTCTAGTGTTTGGACCACCTCAATCTGGTGCTAGGGTGCACTCGTGATCTAATCTATATGATTGACTTAGAAGTACTTAAGTCAGTCAGTAGTATATTACGCATAAACAAACCTAAACTTTATTCATTGATGTTATATGCCTTCATTGAATAATGTTATGTGTGTTATAATGATTCTAATGGAAATATTGCAATGAATTCAGTATTCACGTAAATTATTGCTTCTTAGTAGATTTCTAGCAGATGAATAATGTGTTTACTACTCACATAAAAGGTGAAGTTATTTCTTCCTGATCTCTTGTTAAAACTTAACATGTTTCATCGATATTTTGTAGATATTGTATGAACAAAAAGGTCGATGATAAATGACCTGATATAAAACAATTCAGTAGTTTTAAAAGTGACAAAAAATAATATAGTAAAATTTTATCTTGATACAAAAACTTGTTAACTAATTGGTTTAGTTCACCTTTTATTTTTATACAAGATTCTTGTCACTTTTGATGATTTTACATTTCATGATGAGTTGTGTACAAGGACGAAATAGCTGTCCAGTATTATTATATTATTATTAGTCCCTTGGGTTCCTAGTGGAACATAAGGATTCAGTAGCACGCCTCAAGTGACCTCTGTTCTCTGAAATCTTTTGAACCTGGTTCCACGACAGCCCACAAGCTCTCATTTCCTCCTCGCATGATCTCCTCCATGTCACCCTCACCAAGGACGACCAACTCCTCGCTTCCCATGGGGATTCCACTCGAGTAACTGGCCTGACGCGTGATGTCCCCAGTCGGCCTTCTCAGTGTATGCTCAACCCAATACATCTCCACTTCCTTCCACTGCATATTTGTCGGGCGATAGCTTCTCGGTTGGTTCGTTACCAGCCAGAGTTCCTTGTTGCTTATTCTTATTATTCTGGCCATCTGAGCTTCAGTAACGAGCCAGCGTAGGTGACAGTTGTTGATGAATGTCTGTAGTTTATTGGAAATCCCTTTCGTAACGCGCCAAGTCTCTGAACCATACAGAAGCATTGACTTGGCGTTGGTGTTGAAAATCCAGATCTTGTTCCACATGCTGAGTGCAGAAGGTCTCCACACTGGTTTCAGGCTAATGAACGCCTGTCTTGCTTTTTCGATTCTGACTTTGACATTCTCATCTGTGCCTCTGCCGCCTGTAGTTGAAACAGTGCCCCAGATAGTTGAAGGAGGTTACTTCCTTTAAGTTTCTCCCGTTCATGGTGACTGGAGTTTGTTGTTGTTGTTGGAGTTGTTTGTGCGGTATCTTCATCACCTCTGTCTTCTCTATATTCATTTGAAGTCCCGTCTTCGCTGCCTTGCCTCTTCTGTCAACTTGTTAGTTTTCGCCAGTAGATCTTCAAGTTTATGTGACATCAGGCACAAGTCATCGGCGAAATCCAAGTCTTCTAGGTTCTTTTCCACAGTCCAGCGTATCCCCCTCTTAGCTTTCCAGTATACTCTCAAGTTTTTTTAGGGGTTCTACAGATGGATGTATATCAACTTGAAAACATTATTTTCTTCCATCTAAAATATCTCATTTAAACCATCCTACATGATCCACAATGAATGATAAAAACTTCCCTTCAAAAAGTACGTGTTATACATGCAGAACATAATGGTTTATCAATCTAGTAACAATAGATATACTGTTCAAGAAACAAAATCATTAACTTTCAAGTATCTGGCCTCTTTTTTTGGCTATTTAGGTCAGATGAAAGTGTTTTCAACTTGAGATAATAGGCTGTTTAACTAATTTACAGTTTAGAAAGAATTTTTTTCAGGTAAAGACAACCATCTGTTGCTCAATTTATTCTTAATTAAAAACGTACTAATTTTCTTGAAGAAAAGATTCGGTTTTCAATAATGTAGGAGGTAGTGTAAGAGAGAAATAAACCATAAATTTTATTATGAAGGATCAATACTGGCTAACAATAGATGTTTGTGCATTTTTCTTAGTGACGGTATTCATATTAAGACTTTAACCTAGAACCAATCACAATGAACACTGATCACTAAGCTAATGAGTTACGATAGCTACTTCTTGTGCAACGATGTTAGAACTTACTAATTTTTCATTTCTGATTGTTCTGGACTGAATTTATCAGCCAGCCACTGTTAGCCTATGAGTTTCTGTGTAGATTACCTCGATATAGACGATGATTTCTTTTGATCGATACTAAGGATGAATAAACGCATTGCATAATGGGTGCTTATTATAACTCAGTAGCGTAGGGGCATAACACTGATATGTGAAGCGATCGGTATGAACATCATTACTCACTGGAATGAATGTGTATCTGACTGGCGAGTCCCAAATGAGACGAAACGTACATCCTGGATCACACTGCTACCCACTAACTATCATTAGTAACACATCAGAATCACCAGCTACATCGAGGCATCCAGCCAACAGCCTAATAATAATAATAGTTTTTCGTTTGATAAACTTTTAATTTTTATGGTATTGAGTCCTCTGAACTGGATTGTTTAATCGTGGAGCTTTCGTTATCATTTTAGACAATATCATCATCAGCACGAATTTTAGAAGGAAGTGAGCTATAAGGTTATTTTTGCAATTTATTTATCAGCTTGCCTTGATGACCTTGTGTGTGGTTGGTTGCTTCTGTCAAGGTCTCGTCACTGTCTTCATGGAGATGATGATGTCTAGAGAGACAACGAAAGCTCCATAATTAAAGAATCCAGCTCAGCGAACCTAACACCATCAATACGAAGTATCTATTGATTGACAAAAATATTGTTAATTTCAGGTTGGTATTCATCATGGACTGACATCAGTTAGAAAAACATTGGCAACTTTGGAGCACTGGACACGGGAGGTAGCGCTATATCGTGAACTGACAGAAGTAGGAAATATGAACCATTGGATGCCGACCAAGTGCCCGCGAAGCCTGAAGGTCTTGGGTTCGATCCCTGGTTGGGTCATGAGTGAGTATTGCTGAGGTGTCTCATACTAGAACCAAACAGCTGCCAAGTGCTCCCAGGTTCCCAGTTTTTCTCCAACTGATGTCAGTCCATGTTGTATACCAACCTGAAATCAATAAAATCCCTACAAACATCAAATTCAAAGAAATGATTATATCGATAGACTACATGAGGAGTTCGAGTTGTTACTGATTAAATTGGCTGTTCTCAATAAACTCATCTGAAGTGTTGATGTGTTGTACAACTTTGCATTACTCAGTATTTATTAATTTAAGTAGTATATTGCTGATTAGTTACATAATGACCGTTTCTTTTAGTGAAATCTCATTCAACTGTCACTTGTAAGTCAAGCATCTTTCGTTAAACAAATAGTTGCTAAACAAAAGATAGTTTAAATCTGCCACTCAGAAGGGGTAATTTAAACAAACTTCACTCCTATATTGTCACTCAGGTGATAATCATTACCTGCTTCATCATAGATGACTGCCATGATGTGATACATAGACAAGATAAAAAGGAGAAGAGATGTTGCCATTGGGAAAGAAGAGAATACTGTAAGTATCATCGATCAATAAATAAAGTGTTATTGTTGCTTAATCAATGCTGAATGAGTGATTTGATATGCTAAGGCAGTATATATTGAACATTAACAGTACGATGTGCAATATCTGATGTTGAAGATTGTTGAAAACGTCCACAGCCAGTCAAAACATGCTGTAATTTTCAGAGAATCCGTTAACTAGAAGTCCAACTAAATAATGATTGTAAAATTCCAAGAGAGAAAAAAATGAACCAATCAAAATCCTTTGAAAAAAAGACTTGACGAATATCAAGGTTACCACCTATCAGTGGATAAGCAAAACAATACTTTCAATAGACATTTATTGTTCGATTTCGTTTTTCTGCTTTCATTGGATCAAGCAATAAGTGGACTGAAGTTTGAAGGTCACTGCGTTAATATTCAACTACTAGTCACCACCAAGCAAATTACAACAATAATCAGGCAATATCGAGGGATTCGCATAGTAGCCCATATATGGATAACGCTTTACCGTTTGAAGTGATGAATCCAAGATTCGAGTTCAAATCGGAACAACATCACTGAATGGAGTAGACGTGCATCTAGCTAATGAGTCTCAAATAGGATGAAACGTGTATTTTGGATTCCACCGTTAGCCACCATAAAGCAAGTTAAGGCCATATCAACTATAGAAGAAATAAACAGTAAACCCTAAGGATTAATTTTATTTGTTAGTACCCATCATCATCATGAGGTGAAAAGCTGAATGAAATAGTTAACCTCACATGAATTCGACCTGATATCCTTTGACACTATCAAAGTTTCGTTTGCTTACTTCTTTCAGTACCTTACAGTATCAAAGAGGAAGATGGAAAATAACCTTTTTCATAAAAAAAAAATTTTTTTTAAATTAAAATGACACAAAAACTCACTGATTTATCTGATAATGAACTCTCAGGACTCATTGAATTCGATAGACCATCACTACCACCTCGTCTTGCAGCTAATGAATTAGCCTTTAAACATTCACGTCGAATAAAAATTTGATCAGGTGTCCAACTACCATTTCCACTGACAGTGATATTTTCTTCTTCATCATCTTCACAATCTCCATCCTTTATTATTCCTGGATCAGAGTTATTTGTCCCTTGATTTGTCATTAAAGATCCATATGAACGATAAACATCTGAACTTTTTGAACTGACATATGTGTGGTTATTATTATTATTATTATTACTATTGGTTTTATCGAAATCATGTTGGTCGGATGCTGATGTCAGAGCATAAGAGTTCACGTTTTGTCGATAATTATCAGGAGGTGATGAACTAGGTGAAGCATTCGGATAATTCATTTGTTTTCTGAGATTGGATTCAATAGGATACTGTGATTGTGCTTTTGTGCTTGAATTCTGCATAGAAAATACAGAATGATGAAAAAAAAGTAATTATTTCACCTTTTTATACAGTCCGAAACAATAAAAATAAACATTGCTTATGGACTACCAGGCCCTGACCCACTGACTCAATGGTAACGTGCCGCTAACCATGAGACTTGGAGGTCCTGAGTTCGATAATTGATGAGGTCATAAGTGCGCAATGTCGAGGATTCCCAAACTAGGATGAGACAGCTGTCCAGTGCTTCCAGTGTTCTAATGATTCCCTAACTGATTTTACTTCCTGATGATTACCAACTTGATATCCCTACAAACCTCCAGATTGAAGCATTGCTTTATTCTTCCTCAAAAAAAGCGGGAAGGAGTAAAGGCTCTTATAATGCTTCTCTATCACACCTAAAAGTCCCAGAGTTAAAGTATCCGCTGAATAATGAATCTACTGACAATGAAGTCCCACAAACCTGGCTGTCTAATATCAATAATAAGTACTGAAATATGCTTATTAGTGATGTAAAGAAATCTTCATGTGGTAACGGCAAATCGCTCCATGAAGCTAATATTAGAGTATCTGTCCTATGATCTTTAAGCAAGTCAGTTAACATCACTCGATTATAAATTTCAAACTGCAGTTTATTCATAATCAGAGACTGAAGGTTCACGTTGTTCTATAATAAAGTTTGTATGAATTGAAAATATTACTACTAGTAGTAGAATTTTTTGATTCTATAATTTAAAGATACCCGATAGATTTACTAGTGATGTGTTTAATAAACATCTACTATATTTCATATGAGAATTCCCCCTTAAAAAAGGAAGAACAACAATAGGGGCAGTAGGATAAAATGAATCCATTTCATTTCGGTAGCATCTTGTCAACTGTTAACATACTTTAATTCACTGAAAGAAAACAGAATATCTGCCAACAGTCACGTTGGACAGTAACAGTTATAAAGTAAAAGGTTACTCATAACAGTAAATTCAACTAAGGTTAGTAAATGGTAACATATTGTCATAATAGTATAATCAGTTTGCAAATAATTGATAAATTGCTCACTTCACATCATCACTTCTCACAGTTGAGTAGTTTTTCAACTGTCATCTCAATTGTAGTGTCAACAAGATTTCCACTGGAAACCTACTTAACCAAGATTGCAAGATATGATCTCTGACATTAAGATGTTATAAACTAGGAAAATATATTATCATTGAACAAATTAAGTAGTCAGGAATAATTAAGGCTGATCTGTAGATTTTGCCAGGGAGTCAAATCAGATCATATTGATCTAAACATCGGATAGCCGTTTCGCTCGCTCTGGGTCGAGTCAGTTCATCAACGATGTTAATTCAGATCACTTGAATCTGGTTGGTTGACTTGAATGAACCGGTTATACTGAAAATAAGATGACCAATTTGCAAGTGATTTACAAATTAAAGTTGGAAGATAGGCAGAGGTTGACTACAGTTCCTTTTTGAACATAAATCAGATTTCAAGCCTTTATAATCGCTAAGGACTCAGTAAATCTGCTATTCAATATCACTGTTGAATTTTACGGATGACAGCTTAAAACCAATCTCGATGGCCTGGATATGCACACTCTTTGTCACCTTGCTTCAAAATCGCTGACGTAATCCCCTTTGATGTGTATTTTTATCCTTTGGATGAAATGCTTCACCTTACCGGTTTGTTTTAAGTTGGAATCGTTGGATTAAAGTGTTATGCAAGGCAGCTGAATGTCTATGGCTCTATAAATTATACATTGATTGGTCACTGGGGGTTAACTACTTTCACGTTGTCTAGTCCTGAGTCCTAATCGAATTCTACCGATCAGTTTGCGATATCGCCATCAAACTAGGCGATTCACTATCACAATACCTTGAGATAGATGTTAGTTGGATGGCAGACTGTCGTCACATGACGACAGCCAAAAAGCACGAAACTTGGGTGGAGCAAAGATTCGTGAAAATTACCTCCATCCAACTAACATATCATCATCATCATCAACATAGGACCAGGAATTACTGCATGACGGGCCCAGTTGCCACAGCTCATATTGGTACATCAAGTAAAAAGGCAGTGAAGTGGCAGATGAAGAAAAGAAAACCCAGTCAAACGAAATATAAACTACTAAACGAGAGAAAGGAAGAATGAGAAAATGGTGAGATTCAGTATAGTGTTAAGATGAAGATGGTGTTTGTATGCATCTGTGCCACTGACATCGATTCTCAGTCAAATCACTTACAGTCTCCAACCACGAGTTCCTCTTGCCCCATGGACCCCAACCACCCAGTCTGCATCGTCCCACATGGCTCACACCAACAGTCAAAGACTTCTTACATTGATGTCATGTTTTAGTCCGGCCACTTCAGGCCTTTTTCCAGCCTGAACTTACTTCGGCCAACATTGTGTGACGAGGCAATCAGCGACTGGGCATACGTAACACATGTCCCAACCATCTCAGTCAATGAAGGTTCACACCGCAGAATACTACCTATACTACGAAGGAAACGGTGGTCAAACATCTGAAGGCTTCTCATTTCTTCTACCTCCAATGACCAAGTTTCACAGCCATACAGTAGAACACAGCGGACTGCTGTGCAGTACATGCGACCCTTAATAGACAATCGGATATCACGGCGGCGCCACAGGTGGTGTAAGTTGGCAAAAGACAATCAAACCTTTTGTATTCGTGCCGAAATTTCATCGGCCACTGAGCCACCAAAGCTAATCCCACTTCCCAGATAAGCGAAGTGGTTGACACACTCAATCACTACACTCTCTATTGTTAGCCGAGGCACCGTTGAGGACCAATCCTGGAGCAACAATTTGCATTTCGGTGGTGAGAAACCCATCCCAAACATTCTCAAATTGACACTCAAAGCGTTCAGAAGACTCTGCATCTTGTCAGCGTCTTCACTTAACAGGACTATGTCATCTGCATATTCTAAGTCTAACGAAAATTCTCCTGCGATTAGGTCAACCTTTGTGTAGTCAGGTGACGCGAGAGGGGGACCTCCATAAGAATATCTATGATAAAACTGAATAAGAATGGAGACAATGGGCAGTCTTGACGGACACCGCTCGACGAGCACGGCTCCTCGGATATCTCACCATAGGCTCTAACATGCTTACAAGCGTTCGAGTGGAGAGCCTTTCAGTGATAGACATTATCATAAGACTTCTCGACCAACGGAGTCGAATGCCACCTTCAGGTCCAGAAATACAACTATTGTCGGGCGTCGGTAAGCGTGCATATTGATTCAGGCAACTAACATCTTCATTTTATTTTTGTCTGATACACTGAAATGTAGTTTCTAAATTAGGAACTTTCTAGCCTCCTAAAATTTATCCTTTACATCATCACCAAGAAAAGTTACAAATGATACCATCATTGAATGACTGAATGAACAAGTATAAGTTTACATTATACAGGAAAAGAACAAAACAACAATGAACTACTTTTTTTATTTCGATTTTCAGTGAAAAATTTGATAAAATGTGCATGACTATAGCAGAAAATTCCCTCTTTCTCTCTTCGCCCTCTCTACCAGTTTTAATTATACACACTGATTTTTTTTTTCTTGAAAAAATTCTTCTGGTAACCCTTTAATTTTATTTAAAGAATGTAAACAGACAGACAAACAAACAAACAACCCTTCAAACCACTGTGAATCATAACACTTAAATAAATATATAAGTCAATTTAAGCCACCGACAGCAGAATTTAGAAATACATCCAGTGAACAAAAATCGTTTCCGATTCAATGCTCAATATAGAATTGTTTGACTTCTGTTAGCAGATGGGCTACTATGTAGAGTCCTCGATACTGCTTGAATATTCATTATGTAGTAGATTGCTCGGTGGTGACCAACAGTGGAGTCCAAAACGTGCATTCCTTCTTATTTGTGATTCATCCACCAGATGAACCTGTACTCCAGTAAGTGATGTTACTCCCACTGGGACTCGAACCCATTACCCGTCGCTTCAAACACCAAAGCGTTACCCACTAGGTACATCCAACTGATGAGACCCAAATAGATCGAAACATGAGTCCTGAATTCCACTGCTGGCTACGAAGTAGACTACAACAAAATAAACCTTCGAGCAGTATCGAAGCATCCATTTACGAACCAATGTGTTAACAGAGATCGAGTAATTCATCCTAGTGTAGCAACGAGAAATTACAAATATCAATAAGCAACAACTGATACCCATTGCACAAGAGGTTGCTGTTGTATCCCATCGGTATAGTGAATAACGCTTTAGTGTTTGAGGTGACGAGTACAAGTCTCAATAGGAACAACATCACTCACTGAGATGCAGGTACATCTAGCTGACGAGTCCCAAATAGGACGAAACATGCATCCTAGATATCACTGCTAGCCACCATGCAAATTACACCACAACATAGAAATACAAAGTTTTTACAAAGTGACACCACGTTCAAACTCTGTACAATACAATATTTTTCACTCATTTTTATGGTAATCCATAGTTTGCATAACATGATATTTCATTGTATAACGAAAAGGTGTTCTAGTACCAATTCGTTTTCCCCTTCCTTACATTTTATGACAGCTTTAGACTACTTAACAGTGATAGAATATACTGAATAATTTATGCAAATGAAACGTCAATAGACACAAATAGAATGTAAACACTTTGTAAAACTCTAGTTCTATGTCACTTTTGTAGGTCGTCAGCATAGTCACACGTTTTCCTACGATAACGATTAAAAACTTCATTTATTAGACTGGCTAATTGCAATAGGGTTGATCGTATTAAGGACAGTTAACATTGTAGACGGTTGGATAGACAGACAGACAGGTAGATAGACAGACAGACCGATAGACAAAATCAACGTACAACCCAGCACACAAATGTATCGGCTAAAGCTATCACAATTCACACTAATATACAAAGAACAAGTGAATAGAGAAAAAAACTAACATCAAATTACACAAAGGTGTGTAGAAGAAAAAGGAATTTGAAAGTGAAGGTGGGTTAAAAAATTTA